CAGCAGGGGTGGCCAGTGCAGGCTGATATTATCATCATTATCTGTACGACAGCAGTGGGACAGTCAGACTTGGAGGTGTTGTGGCGGGACGTGTAAATGCAGGGCTATGAATAATGGCCCGTTATGAGAAGCAGGTGGCAGAGGGCCGGACTCCAGCATTAACCCGACAGATGGACACACAGCACTCCCTCACTGCTACATATGGACAGCAGGAGGACAAGAAGCTAATGGAGAAAACACACGCACACACACACACACACACACACACACACACACACACACACACACACACACACACACACACACACACACACACACACACGTAGATGTATAAACACATACAGAGACAGAAAAGGAAGGATCAATGCGCTTTCCGGACAGCAGATCTGTCTGAGGCGGCTCATGAATATTCATGCACCGAGTGTAAAGAGGTGAGGAGGTTTTGGGGGAAGGGCTGTCCCACCTGTGACAGCGCATGGAAATGGAGGAAGTGATGGAGCGTGACTGTGTGAGACATTGGAAACGAGTGAAAGGAAAAACATGACAATCAAGGTGGGAGAACACACAACTAAGCGCTTGGGCATTTAATGAACTGGACACTTTTTCGATTTCCATTTTTCTTTTGTTATTTTTCTTTTAAATTATTCTAGTCATGAGAAAAATAAAATGCCTTTTGTTTGAGGCATGAGCGAAAAAAAAAAATATATATATATATTTTTTTTCCACTCATGCCTCAAACAAACGCAATATATATATATATATATATATATATATATATATATATATATATATATATATATATATATATATATATATATATATATATATATATATATATATATATATAGTCATGAGAAAAATTAAATGCCTTTTGTATTTACATAATCAAATTTACCAAATCAGGTAAAGGCTGTAGGAAATACAACAGTTTGCATATGTGCCTCCCACTTGTTAAGGGTCCAAAAGTAATTAGACAACTGGCTTCTTAGCTGTTCCATGGCTAGATGTGTTATTCCCTCATTATCCCAATTACAATGAGCAGATAAAAGATCCAGAGTATCTCATCAGAGAAATGGCAAAAACATTAGGTGTGGCCAGAACAACTGTTTGGCACATTCTTAAAAAGAAAGAACGCACCGGTGAGCTCAGCAACACCAAAAGCCCTGGAAGACCATGGAAAACTACTGTGGTGGACGACCGAAGAATTCTTCCTTGCTGAGGAAAACACCCTTCAAAATAGTTGGCCAGATCAAGAACACTCTCCAGGAGGTGGGTGTACTGTATGTGTCAACAATCAAGAGAAGACTACAACAGGGTGAATACAGAGGGTTTACCACAAGATGTAAACCACTGATGAGCCCAAAAACAGGAAAGCCAGATTAGAGTTCTAAAAAAGCTTTCACAGTGTGGAACAACATACTATGGACAGATGAGATCAAGATCAACTTGATCAAGCAGCAAGATAAATTCTGAAGTGTTTCAGGCAATATTTTCTGTTTAGATTAACCCAGATCCTTAACTCAGAACTCACTGAACAGTGATTCACAGTGCAGATGGAGAATGGGCCAAAGCATACTGCAAAAGCAACCAAAAAGTTTTTGAAGGTAGAGAAGTGAAATGTTATGCAATGGCCAAGTCAATCACCTGACTTTAATCTGATTGAGCTTGCATTTTACTTGCTGAAGACAAAACTGCCCCAAGAACAAGCAGGAACTGAAGACAGTTGCTGTAGAGGCCTGGCAGAGCACCACCAGGAGTGAAAGAATGAAACCCAGCGTCTGTTGATGCCCTCAAATTAAAGCTGACAGTCTGCAGTTAAAGCACATCTTGTTCGTTGAATTTTTCAGATTCATTGCGTTGGTGTATAGAGACAAAAATGCTAGAATTGCGTCAATGTACAAATATTTATGCACCTAACAGTATATATAGATTTTTTTATTTTATTTTGTTATTATTATTATTATTTTATATTATTACAATTCAACAAACTAATTTAAATATAAATGTATTTTAAAATGTAATCAGTTCCTGTGATTCAAAGCTGAATTTTCAGCATCAAGCATAACGTAACCCTTTACAAATCATTATAATATAATAATGTTATGCACATAACACAAATCATAAGTGTTAAAAATCATCATCAGTGTTAAAAACAGATCAATGTGTGTGTTTTCTAGATTTGTTGATGGATGAAAAGTTAAATAAATTAAAAATCTTGATAAAAATCTATTGAGAATTTCATAAGCATAACTAGTTCAAAAACATTCAATTAATAGATCAACTATTATTATTTTTTCCAATTAAATAATAATATATATATATATATATTAAATACATAAATAAATTAAAATTAAAATGAAATAAAATAAAACTAAATAAAATAAAGCAAAATACCAAAACTTATTAGCACTTCTATTATTAGAAAGCAAAATGCAATGCAAACATTAAAATACTTAAAGGGCACATATGGTGAAAAATCTACTTTTTAAGCTGTTTGGACAGACGTGTGTAAGTATAGTGTAGAGAACGTCATATTAGGGAGATATACTGTACACACACAGTCCTTTTTTTTTTTTTACAATTTAACAACATAAAAAGAGTGGACCAATTGGAGCGGATTTCAGAGCGACCGCAACTTGACATAGGAGTGCGGTTCCCCCGCCCACCCTTATTGATTGACAGGCACGTCACCATAGCCTTATTTTGTTGTTTCACATCCGCCATTTTCAGCATGTGAGTAAAAGCGATGTCACTAAAGGAACACCACAGCTCTATTTTTTAATGTAAGGCGCGTTGGGCTCACCACAAGATCAGCATTCACCACATGATCGCTCTAATTGGAATTATTGTTTGTACCTTTTGGTAGGTTTGCAAACATGTGTACTTTTCATTGCGTCTACCTTAAAATTCAGCCGTTTGCATTTCTCACGATCACAGAAGCTCGCTGTGATCTAGGTGCAGCCGGAAAAGTGCAAATGCGTTACCTCATATGTGCGTCTTTCCATTGGAAATAAAATAACAAACTGTCCTGCAGGTCGCACATCAGAAGCCGACGATTTGGGACACTTCATGTTTCTGTTGCGCTGTGTCGCGGCTCAGAGCGGCGCATCCGGTGCACCAGTCAGGGTTAATTCAGTGTGCGTGGTTATTAGTCTCGGTGTACAAGCTCGACACCTGAAACTAGCACACAGTTGGCAGTAAAACTATACAAAGACACAAATGATTTTGTACTCTCTGCTTGGTCTGTGTACGAGTCGTACATGTACGGCTGAATGATGATCCTCTCATGTAGCTTAGCTTCTCTCTGTCTGCCTGTCTGTTGCAAACACAGAGTGTGGGAGCTCTTGGCTCCGCCCCCTTATTATGATGGGTGGGAAGCCAAAACTACTTTTCATGTGAAGCAACACACCCCTAAAACAGCGAGCTGTGTACAAACCCCCCAACATGACACTTTTTAACACATTATAATAAAAATATCTGAACTGTGTTGAACTGAACCAAAACTGGCACACTCAGAAGAACCATAATATTACTGTCAAATCATACAAAAGGGGTAAACTATGTGCCCTTTAAAAACGCTGGCTGATTAAAACAATGTATTTCCAGCAATACTTTAAAAAAACAAAAACAAACAAAAAAAAACATAAAAGAGGCAATCTCAGTATTTCTCATTTAAAAATGCTTAGAATTCCCCCTTCCTTCTGGTATAATCTCAGCCTTTATTTTGTCCAATACAGCTTAGGACAACAAATGGATAAGATTAAGAGGCTAAATCTGACAAATCAGCAGCTCATGACACATAAACTGGATTTACTCAGTCTGCGCACATCTACGAGACTTCCTGTCCAGTCACCCTCCACCTTCTAAAAACCGATAAAAGCTTTGCAATTGTCTGAAGTCCTTTCCACACTTTCCACACTAATACGTTTTCATTTAAAAACACGTTGCTCTTCATTTTAGTCATGCATCCACACTGAGATGGCATATTTAGGGAACAAAAATATATCTTTTTGAATACATTGTCTTTAGTTGGATAAATCTGAAAATGCCATTTTTTCGTTGCTGTGTGGACTATGAAAACGGAGGCTTTTGAAAATGTGACTGCATTCATGTCATGACATTGAAATCAGATGCTTTGAATGCTGCCTGTTCTGAGAACTTTAGTAAAGATTAAAGATTAAAGTTTATAATGCCTTCAAAGGACATGGAATGCTTAATTTAAGCTGTTGTTCAGCGGTGGAAGCAGATGAGAGTTGCGACTTTTTGCTTCAATGTTTCATAGAGACAGAAAGTAAATTAACGCCAGGCTGATTCGACGCAAGTAAAGTCGTCTGATGTCTGTGCACATCCGCAGTACATGAACAAAAGTGTTTTTTCAGTCGTTTTAATGTGGATGACCATTTTTTTTGGGAAAGAATTGAAAATGATAGTGTAGACATGGAGCGTTTAGAATTTATCTGAATTAGTGTAGAAAACGTAGCCCGAGTCCAGAAGGAGTCATTCACAATCACACAGACTGAGAGCAGAATGTGCAAATTATACAACGAGTTTGTTTCACACCCATTACACATCAGGGGTTGAGTGTTTGTTTGTGTCCATGACCTGTCAGCACTTGTGGAGAGAAGCATATCATGAAATGGGTTGGAAATAAAACACAACCTCTTTCTGCCAATTTATGTGTTCTAAAAGTTTTTTCCCCTCTAAATCTAAATTTCTGGTTTCTGTTGTCCTAACACAAATCGAATAAGTTAACTTAACCGTTTTTACAAATTTAAGTGGATTAAACATAAAACTGTTAAGTTGTCCAACCAAAAATTTTACGAATTGTGTTGATTTAACTCATTTTAAAAAAGTAGTTTGAACAAGTAGCAGAAGTCATTTTTAAATGTAAGATAGGCTAAAGTTGCATAGTAATTAATCTAAATTAAGACTGGGGCAGTCTGTTAAAAGGCCATAAACAGTCCTGTTAAGCTGTAAAACAGGGTTAAGATCTCACTTACCTTTGAAAGACCTCCAACCTCCAGGTAGAAGCAGATAATGAAGACGTTCCAGGCGACCCACAGCGCCGTCCAAACTGTATACTGTCAAAAACACAGAAGATACATTACTTTCAAATAGCTTATGCTTTCAAAAATTATTGCGGAATTATGACGCAATGTTTTGCTCAAAAAATTTATTGTATTAAGTTTTTAGTCATATTTTATATAAATAACTTGGTCACACTTTACAATAAGGTTCATTAGTTAATGTTAATTAATGCATTTACTAACATGAACAAATAATGAACAGCATATCTACTACAGTATTTGTTCATGTTAGTTAACGTTAGTTAATGAAAATACAGTAGTTCATTATTAGTTCATGTTAACTCATGCTGCATTAACTAATGTTAACAAGCACAGACTTGAATGTTAATAATGCATTAGTAAATGTTCAATTAGGATAAATAAATGCTGTACATGTGTTGTTCATGATTAGTTCATGTTAGTAAATGCATTAACTAATGAACCTTATTGTAAAGTGTTACCAATAACTTTATGTTGTGTCTTTGGTTTAAAGAAATAAAAAGTCAAAATCTAACAACAAAAAAAGTTTCCTCTAGTAATTTTGCATGTATTAATGCAGTCAAATTGCATTTTTGAGTTTGATCAATGCTTTGACAGGTTTTGCTGTTGAAAAGTTTAGCGATGGGACTTTTTTGCTGACATTTCTGTCATCAAAAAGAAGAATTGTTAATTATTACAAACTATAGAACTGTAATTGTTATGGCAAAACATAGGCTTAGAACATACACGATTAATTGAAAAAAGATCGTAACCCCCACATCATCTTAATCCAGCATTTCTACAGTTCAGCCAAAATATATTTTCAAGTTCAGGAGAAGCATAAAGGAGGTTGCATAAGTCGATACATACGTTGCTTAGCAACACAGACACCTCTAAATGGTGTTAAAAGTGTCATATATTGTATTTATAAGGCATAATTCACCCAAAAATGTAATTTCTGTCTTCATGTAATGACGTTTTCGAGGCCACAAAATGACACCAGCTGACACACTGCTTTTTTACTACTGTGAAGTCCACTTTAGTGAACGGAAACTGCGTAGGCTGTGGATACCAGGTAATAAAGCTGTAAATGACGTTCAGTGTGTGGCAGACAGCAATCGTTTGGGAGCCGCGCGGGAAGTATGATTAGACAGCCATGACATAAACCGCACTCGGCAGTGAAAGTGAAACCAAAAGCGAGCAAATCATTTAAATGATCATATTAACATTTTAGAGCTATGATTTGATATGTTTTTTCGTTCATAGCGAACACAAAGTATATAAAGCCCATATAATGTTAAATGTAATGCAATTTGATGACAAATGTCTGATTTTACCAACTTTAACTAAAATGGTCTAAAAGATATGTCTCAAACACAATTATTCAACATCAGAACTATGAATATAGCTTTCTGATGTAACTTTGCAATATTGACCAGGACAATTTAAAGTCTGTTCAAGTCCACCATTCAAAGTCTATACAAAATTTAGCATTTTAAGCAACAGTATACCATCACATAGGCCTAATATTATTATTGTTGTTTTACCACATGTTTGAGAATACCAATAATATTAGGCTACTCATATTAACCTTTATTTTACATCAACAGAATTTTGATAAAATTGTGATCTTGATTTTGAGCAAAAAAATTGTGATTCTCATTTTAGCCAGAATTGTGCATCGTGCCCTACAACCTACCATCATAATTGGACAGTTCACAACAAACAAATGACTTAATAAAATTTCTGTCAACATTGACTATTTCATCATGAAAGCCAAAATTAAAGTTGGTAATGTAAGAAACTGTGAGATTCAGGCCTTTATTATTTTCCCGGATTTATTTATGCTTTTGAATTGCATTATGAGACCTTGAGCTTGCTTTCAACAATTTCGAAAAAGCTCGAAAAAGTGACTTTTATTGACATTTTTAATTAGTTTAAAGTGCTGAAAGGTCTGAGTTTATGTTGTATATTGTGGTACAAATGACTTTTCATATGTTATCCGTACATTTTCTGTTATGCATCAGACGTATTTTTCTATATTTTATAGAAAATATAGAAAGTGCTAAAATGTCAATTAAAGTCACTTTGTTAAACTGTAGAGCTGAAATATCAACATCAAAAGTCGACAGAGCAGAGATCAAGCTCCCATAATGCAATTCACAACCGTAAATAAACAAAAAAACAGAAACTATTAACAGAAATTAACAGATATTTTATACAGTGTACAATTAATTTTAGTGTTCAGTAGACCAAAAAGCGAAACAATTAAATTTATTAGAAGACACTTCTAGTAGGATTATTTTCACTCAAAACACCATTTAATTCTGTCTAATACTATCATCATACCCCTATACCACAACATCATATCACATGTTGTGCTGCCATGTGCCAAGCACCCATCCAGAACAAGTCAAAACTCAAGCTGTTCCAGAACTAGCATCAGAGCATTTGAAAATGCGATAAACAGAGGTCGAGTTCATCCTTCAGAAAAAAACACCCTCTATTCTCCAGATCTGTATCTTCCATTGCTCTGACTTCTTTTATGTTGGAACTGTGATTTGAACACCAATCCTTGTTGTTTTCCAACTCGTTTGTACTTTTGTTTACCTCTCACAAACGCAATCAATTAGGATTTTTAAGCGCTTATCAATCCCATTTAAATGTTAATCTGCATTAGCGCTTCACACTGAGGCTCCTGGCTATCAGACAGAGAAAAAGACTCATTTCTGTTACTATCAGGAAGCTGACGGTGTTCACAGGGAGTGGAAAGAGAATACAGAAGTTTATGCGTCACTGGAGTGAAAATGGATCTCAGGTTTGCCGTCGGTCCCTTTTCTGAAGAGCAGCTTGAGACGACTTTATAGAGCAATTTTCTCCAAACTGCAAAAGAGCTCTTTCTCGAGATGTGCTCCGCTGGGATTTCCTCCGCCGATATACAGAGATCAGAGGAGCACTTTGTCTGAGGATTTCTTCTATTTTGGAGAGTTTAACTGTGCTTCTCGCAAAGTTTCAAATGGAGCAGAGTTGCAAAAGTTTACACAAAAACAACCTCATTCCAAAGAATTACATCGGTGATACAATAACAAAGGATTCACTCGCCTAGAGAGAGAAGTCAACATTAATGGAGTGTTTTTTGATCTTATTTCTGCACTTTTTAAATTCCCTTAGTGCATAATGTTGCTGTTTGAACATCTGAAGATCTGCAAAGTTTACAAAGCAGTCCAGTGGGAGTTATTCTCTGTAAACTAAAACCTGTTTCTGAACTCGCTCGGATGCTTTGAATAGTCCTGAGTTTTCTTTTTAGAAATGTAAGCAACACAATGTCCTGAATATAAATAATTTGGCATAAAATGGGTTGAGCCTGGTTGAGCTTTTGTGCGTTAATAGGGTGTTGTACAATGTACAAATGATGCTGTTTAATGGATCTAATATTGTGATACAAATGATTTACCACATCTTTTTACATTTACACACACAACCGGCATTGTGTGAAACACTCACATAACCAAGAGCACATTTGAGAGTTGATGTCAAAGAATTTGTTAAAGAAAAAATTTTTTAATTTACTCATCATCAAGTGGTTTCAAAACTTTTATGAGATTTCTTTTCTGTTGTTGGACACAAAAAAAAAAAAAAATACTACAGAAGGCAATGGCTACATATTTCTAGCTTTAGATTATCTTCTTATGTGTTCAACCAAAGAAAGAAAGTCAAGCAGGTTTGAAACAAGTGAAGGGTGAATATTTTCTCTCAGTTTTGGGTGAACTATCCCTTTAAAGGTGCTGTATGTACAATTTTGACTCTTTTAAAGCACAAAAATACCATAATGTGTTTGCAGATATTTAGGAAACATGTTAAGTAAAGATTCTTGTTTATCTGAAAAAAATGCTAAAGATAATCTGCTATGAAAATGTGCGTTACATGGCAGAACGTCTGTCTTTGTTTTGTCATTTAACCCGCTCAATGCCAGTTTAGCCAATTATATTTCAGCTACTCGTGTTACCTTAGTGAAAAACACCTTACTTCATTTATTTAGTCAGGAAGGCTCACAAAGAGTACCTCCGTGACAGAAGTATGATCTCCGGTGGACAATAGCAGACTCTGAAATCCGACACAGATTCAGAGTTCCACATGAGATGGTGTTTAATTAGCAAATTATATAAATATTACGAACTTAAAAATTAGGTGTGCAGGTTACATTGTAACCCTGTGTCCTAACAACATGCTACATGACGAGACTTGCAGTGATGAGCATTTGGCTGTTTGCACCAGACGAAACATGACAGAAATTTAAATACAGCATCAGAAGCACAGAATAGTGCACTTACTGCACTCCAATGAAATAGTAAGGTTTATGATCTATTTAACACATAATAAACTTCTTTACCATTATTAAATGCACATGTTGAATCACTGATCTGTGTTAAGTCACTTCTAATGTTCAATTTCAAACTTTTTATTTTATTTTTAAGATCTGCTGCTTCTTTCAGTAGTGTGGCACTAAATTCCATGTAAAATGGCATTCAAACTCACATTATTACCATTTAACACTGAATAAGATGTACCTGAGGTAATCATTGCCAGATTATAATGCTGTTCAGCTGCAAGAAATAGAAGCTGTTTCTAAAATATAAATATCAAGTGTTGGTTAGGACAAAAACTCATTTTAAAATGGAAAATATTCCTTTTATTGCGTGCTGTTGCTTTTATTTAGAACACGACTCAAATCAGCTTTTAGGCTTGACAGTCAGGCAAACTGCTGCTGGTGTCCTCAATCTGGCAACCTGTGCTTTCGTTTGTTTTGAAGCAGGTGTGCAATACCTAGTTCAACCACTGGGTGTCAAACTTACAAACTTCACATTGACATGTAATACCTAGGGCCCACTCACACTATGCTATATGTGAACCGTGCCCTGGCCCATTCCCGAATCGTTTCAAAAGTAATTGCTCTGAATCAGCCTCAGGCACGCGGTTCAGTTGGGCTTTGGTGCAGTACGCTTGTGTGTGAGCCCAAAACTGAAAGCAAAATGTGA